CTGGAGATGTCTCCTCCACTTCCAGTCTGGTGTGATGAAATACCCGAGCCACCGGAGGCATTCTTGGGGGTGCAGGAGATTGTCTCCCACCATGGGGCTGAGGGTCAAGTTCTTTTTTGTGCGAATATGGATGTATTCGCCTTTGGTCCCCGAGAAGTTATACCCCCACGTCTTGGCCTGTCGGGCCGTTTCGTTGATAGTGGTCTGGTGCGCGTTTTGTCCTTCGTCCCTTCTGGTGTAGGCTGTTGCGAGCAGGATATCGTCGACGTACGCAAGGACGGTGGAGCTTGTGCCATTCGTGTCATTGGGTTTCACGCCAAGGATGTCTTTGGTGCTTATGAGGAACAGTATGGGCGAGAGTGGGGATCCCTGAGGCGTTCCCACACTCGTGTGAAAGGCTTGCGATGTGCATCCATTGAACCGATAGGACGTTTGGCATCCGTGCCCCCAGTGGCGTACCCATTCCGTGTGGTGGGCGTCTTTGCTTTGTATTCTGTCGCATACCATGTCCAGTTTTAGGTGGTCGAAGCCTCCTTCTATGTCCAAGGCCGACAGGCAGATGTTCTTCTTTGGGTTGTTTTCCACGAAGTTGTCCAACCCCTGGATGGCGTCCGTGGTGCCGGATTGCTTTCTCCCTCCAAACATGTTGCTGGTGAGGAGGTCCAGCCTGGCCACCCTGGCCACGACGACCCTTTCCAGCACCTTTGCCAGGATTGACTGGAGTTGTATGGGCCTCCAGCTTTTGGCATCCGTGTAGGACTGTTTCCTTAGTTTGGGGATGAGGATGGTGTCACTTGCCTTCCAGCTATCTGGTATTCCTTCCCTAAGGGCCCTTCTCATTATGGCGAGGAACAGGCTTTCGTTGGTTTTCCTGAACTCTCGGACGAGTCTGGTGGGTATCTTGTCGGGTCCTGTGGATGCTCTGTTGGGTGAGGATTTGAGCGCTGCGTCGAGTTCTTGCAGTGTTATGTCCTCCGAGGGTTCTTTTTCGATGTGGGTGGTATTTCTTCGGTGTTGCCCGCCGTAGAGGGCTTCCTGAAGTTCTGCTGCAATGTGGGGGTGCTCGCTAGCTGTGGTGCCGTCCTTTCTGGTGAGGGCGGGTATGGGGCGTTTGTTGCACATGGGCCGGATGTCCCTGAAGCATTCTGGGTCAGTTTCTTCTTGAAGGGCCCTTCCATTCGCTTCCTTTTTTGCCTCCGCGATCTTTGTCCGGTAGGACCTTTTCAGGTTGAGTATCCTTGGGTCACCAGGCTGGTGTTTAATCAGGGACAACAGCGATCTCCTGTCGTCTTCCAGGTGCTTATTCCAGAAGGCTTTGGCACCGGGCCTGGCTCTGGGGGTGTGTTGTAGGAGGAGGCTTGTTAGCGAGCGTTGGACCGACGTTGGGTTTGTGTCCGTGGGGTCCATCAGGAGAATCCCTGTCCTTATCTGGTTCCAGTCGGCTTTGTCGTATCTTAGGGTGTCCTCTACCGAGCTTCTCCAGATGATGTTGGTGTTGATCTTGAGGGCCTTGTGTTCTATGGTGGCCACGTTTATTTTGCCAACCCTACATGTGTTGTCTTTGCCGCTTATGACTATATCGATGGTTGTGCTGTTACCCTGCCCGTGATATGGCGGAAGAGTGACCATGTGGGGGTTACATACGTTGAGCGCCCTCTCCTCCATCCATTTTTCCAACCTGGAGCCAGCTGCGTTTCTTCCGGCAGACCAAGTCGGGTGTTTGGCATTTAGATCTCCGATAATTATGTTATTGGAGCCCTTGTGCCACTCGTTGGTAGGATCCCAGTTCCCGGTATATGGCCTTTGATAGCCAAATGTAATTTCGATACCTGCGGTCCATAACGTGATGTATTGGGTCGACATACTCCCGACCGCAAACATGTTGACGTATTCGTCCTTGACGTAGACGGCGCATCCCCATCTTTGCGCCTTTGTGTCGGCGTAACAAGTGTATCCTTTGAGATTCATCCAATCTCCATTTTCCAGTAGGCATTCCGCCAGCGAAATAATTTTTGGGTTAAGTTTCAGGGAGCACCTTAATAACTCGGTGACCACGTTCATCGACCCGCCGACGTTGTGGAAAATAATATCCGTATTCGCCATATTTAATTGGTGTTAGGGGTTGGGGCCGGTCCCGCTAGTGCTTTGCCTTTATCCATAGTAGTTGGGCTTCGGGCCCTCGTCCTGGAGGGGCAGTGCCTGTCCCCTGTAAAGTGGGAGGTTTCTTCACAGTTGGCGCACCTCCTAACCACGTGTGAGCAGGTCTTCCCTCTGCCTGCGGTGCAGTACTGCGCCCTGCAGTTGTGGTCTTTCGTATAATGATACTCGCCGCAGAACTTGCAGACGGCTTGGCTTCTGCAGTGCATGGCGTGGTGCCCGAACTGTAGGCACCTCTCACAGTGGGTGGCCGCATCCTTTCGGATGTACTTGCGGATGCTGCACCGTAGCCCGTATACTGCCAGCGCCGGGTGTGGCTTGCGGAGTTCTTCGGTGAGCCATGGGTTTGCCTCCACCATGATGATGATGGTTGACCTTTCTTTATTTTCTTGTTTCAAGGCCGTAACGGACTTCATCCATTTGGGCTTGTCCAGTAGGCAGAGTTCTGGGTTAAAGGCCGTGAGTTCGTCTTCCAGTTCATTCCAGGCTGGCGAATCGATGTTCCAGTCCGCTGGCTCCCAACCGTTTCCTCCCAGGGGTACCCCATTGACGACAATGTTGGTGGCGGGCGTGTCAAGCGCGACATCGAATCCGAAGATGTTTAAGTCGTTTAGGGCCTTGGTGATACCCTTGATGTCCCTCAGGGCTGGTTCAGCTGGGAGGTCCCCCATCGTGGTGAGGACCAGGTGGTCATTGCGGTTGTACTCCGCAAACGCGAATTTGGTGCCTGTGGCACTGTTGACTGCGTCTCTGATGTTGGCCGGTGTTAGCCCGGCGGTTCCGATACGTCTTCCCTTCTCAACAGACTTGATGAGGAGCCTTCTTTGCCTTGCGTGGGGGGTGGACAGGGCCGAAGGGGCTGTCTCTCTGATGCCTGGGCCTTTGGACGGGTTTCTTTTTCTGGTCGGCACCAGCTTGAAGCCGTCCGTGTCGATACCTGCTGCTGCAATGGCGGACCAGGTTTCCCTCTTCTTCTCTTTGATTTCCTCTCTCACCTCCTTTTGGGCAGGGGCTGTGGTGGAGTTCCGGACTGGAACTGAGGGGGGCTTTGGGGCTTGGGGTTTGGGGTTGTCTGTTTGGATGGGGGGACCGGAATGTCTGGGGATGGGGGGGGGGTCTTGTCTTTGCGGTGGTGGGGTCGGTCTTCTGCTCTGGTTGATGGAGGCGATGATTCTTTCTTCCATGACCCTCATCTTTTCCCCCATGGCGTCTTCCAGGACCGCCAAGTAATTGATGAGGTCTTTCCTGGTGACTGGCCCGTCGAGGTGGTCTTGGGTCATGCCTGTGCTCTCGGGGGTGGCCCCTTCTTGCTCGTGGAGTTGACCGAGGTTGAGTGGTGTCGGGGTCTCTGGCCTGGTGGAGGGTTTACCCGAACTTGTGTTCTCGTAGGTGTCTGGAATAGTTCTTTTGGGGGGTCATGACCCGGGCTAGCGGGGAGGAGAATCGAACCCCTTTGCTGGTCCCGGTGTTGGTACGGGCGGTGGCGGTATTGGACCAGGTTACTGGTGCTTCTGAGGAGGGGGGGTCTGTGGAGCCGGGGGAAAACAGGAGGGAGGGGTCGGAGAAGAAGGAGGCAGTGGACGGTGCATGCTGGCTGTCTCAGAGCCCGGTTCTTTCAGTGTTTTGGTTGTTGCCTAGGTCCATGGGGAGTTCGGGGGCGGAGGATTCTGGCACGTATTGAACGAGTGCCTGGGAGGGAGTTTCTGTAGGCTGTTCCAGTTCCATTGCCTCTTGGGGGGGCTGGGAGTCGGGCACCTGGGGGGTGGCTGGGGCGGGGGAGGGCTGATAGGAGGAGGCCATGGCTGCTAATTCCGCGAGGGCCTGTGCGTCGATTGCACTGATATTTTCGTCTCCGAACACTTTGGCGAGGGCGGTCTGGAAGCCCATGGGGCGGGGTGCTGGTGCCAGGATAGGGGCATTCCCTTTACTATTGTTTCCGGCCAGGTGCACGTAGCAAAGGAGGGTGCAGCCCAGCTCGAGTCTGGTATTGGAGAAGGTGCTTCCTGGGACGACATAGCGGTTGAGGATGTCAACTCCCTTGTTGGGGCAGGAGTCGGCGTGGAGGATGGTGGCCCCTTCTGGGACGCAACTCCTGAGGGGGATGCCAAAGGGTGATCTCTGGCCGAGAACGCGGGGGGAAGAGGGTCCGGGGGAGGGGGATGCAGAGAGGGCCCTACCAGGCTGCTCCTGGAGGCATTTGACGGGCGAGAAGGACATATCGAGGCAGGAAATGGGCAATTACTCGGTCAGTAATTGTTTCCTAGAGTGTTTTGAAGCCTTAGGATAAGCGAGCCTGACTGGCTGCCACGCCCAAGGGAGGGAGGTGGTGAGAAAAAAGCAGAGTAGCAAAATCTGGAAAAATCCTGGTTCTACCGGAGGGAGTGGTGTGTTGGCAGTGCCAAAATGCGAGTTGTGAGGAAAGTATGGGTGACATGCACCGGGGTGAAAATTGTTCACGTGGCTATACCGTATATTTTTGATTTCAGAAGAAAAGGGATAGCGAGGTGCGACTGTCCAGCAGTAGGGCACAGGTTAGACTACCCACGGCCAAACAAGCATAAGAATCATAATTGGTCAAGCGCTGCAAAAGCAAAATGAATGGTTGTTTAATATCAGGATATGGGAGTACAAGTACCATGGTTCGGTGCATCGCTACCGGTACTTGTATCTCCCCCAAACTCCTGTGTTCCATGTTTGGGGCTCAAGATTGGGCAAGTCAGTTCGCGTTCGGCAATGTACGGTATCCGAGCCACGGGCCTGTCCCTGGCGCGTGTCAACTCTCTACAGATAGATAGACGAGCTTCATGCACTTTCTCATCTCACCTTCCAGAATCTCTAAATTTACTCCCTCACCGATCCTTCCTCCCTCCCCCTTGGCCCACTCTTCCCACTCCCTCTCCACCCCTTCTCTACGTGCACTCGTACTGTGCAACTATCCCTCCCCACCAACATCTCCCCCTGTATCAGATTCCAGATTCATATTTCTTCACCGTCAGCTCATGGTCCCTACCCGTTCCTTCCTCGTAATTGTCGCTTTGTACCAGTACTCTTCCTACTTTCCCACCTTTCTCCTATCTTACCCAACATCTACCTTCTGTAGTACCAGTATTTCTAGTTATGTTGCTCCGAAATGATTTGTTTTATATCCTCCCATCTCACATTCACCCCTTCCTTTTCCCTGATGCCTCGTCCTCGTCCCTCTTCGTTCCGAGCTACACCAAACCCTTTTTCATCTTTCCTACCGTCTTTTCTAGGCAGCAGGACCAGTTCCTACCCTTCTACCGCTACTCGGACCTTACTCTTGATCGCATTCATCAAGCAGAGCCTGTCTTTAATTTCTTAGAAAACTCTGTCGTCAATTCCGATAAGTACATTCGACTCGTTATACCCCCACGAGAGCCGCATCATGGGTGTTATAGCAGCGGATACCCTGAGCATGGTGGAGCCGCCGAAATACGGGAGTCCACGGTGGAATAATGTTGGGAAGATATACATTGCTGTTTTCGCGTTATGGACGGTTGTTTTCCTCGTTGGCTTTACCGTTTTCTTGATTCACCGAAAATCGCCTTTTATACGCCTGAAGAATGTCCCATTAGTGTGTTCGGCATTGCTTTTGCTGCACCTGCAGCTGAGCTTTGATATACTCCTCTACCCACTCAACGGGTCATTGCCGTGTGGTCTAGAATATTGGATCATGAGTATATGCTTGCCGTAAGCTGGCGTCCCCAATTCACGAGGTCGGCTATGTTTACTAACGCATTTGTAACCTCAGTCTCGGGATCGCACTCTTCCAAGCACAGAACATGCAGCTTTTCAGTCTGTTCTGGGGGCAAAAGCACCTTGTATGGTTAAGGTCGAGAAACAGCGGTCTTACGGGCCCCGTAAGCGCAGTGGATACAACTCCCGCAAAAGGACGGTTGTGCCGCTGCTGGAAACAGTGGCGAAAGATCTGCATTCTCAAGAAAACTTACATCATAATAGCCGTCGGGACAGGCTTGCAGGTACGTGCAGGGGGAAAGGGCAATAAACTTCCTATCGGAGAATGGATGTGTAAGATCCTGTACTAAAACCATTGCAAGATCTTGATCAGCACAATTATCTTTCTTATATCTCGACGTTTCCACCCGAGCTACGGCTGGGTATCGGAATCGGGTACCGCATTCCAGTGCCGCACTGGCTGGGAATGGTATGTAGCACGCGAACTATGCGTAATCACTGCCCCCATTTTGATGCAGATAAGCTTGGAGTGTTTCCGGATGAATTATTTTTAACTTTGTGCTAGGTTTCCCTCCGGCGCCTGGCAAGCAATTTGGACCTATGGTTTTGGGCCCTTTATACTTTACAAGATCAGGAAGATCCAAGACACTCACAGATGGAGACTACAAACTACGTTAGCTATACTATTCAGGTCGGTAACCTTTTCTAAGGGAAAAAAGATGCCCCGAGTCTTTTTGCCCCTTAGGATGGCTTTCGTCATTCTATCCTTGGGGAAATGTTCGGCTCTAATGAGTTTTTGGTATGCTATAGTCTTCCAGCCCTGCCACTTTGGCTCTCGACCTGGTTTACACCTGAATTCTACGTTATGAATGCTTATTGGCCTCCAAATCTATGGTAAGCGTTTCAGTAAGGTTTGCCACGGAGAGCTAGTACTAAGAATCATTTCCTCCAGGTTTGTGCCAGGCCTAGGAGCGATGGAGTTTGTTATCCTCTTTTTCCCCATTTTCGAGATATGGGAGTTCAAAAAGCGCCAAAGAAAGGTTAGGGAAGAGCCCAGCCATGCCAAATCCTCGAAGTACAGTCTAGCAGCTCTGGAAAAGGCTCTGCGTGACGATGCCGAACGGTTGGAGGAGTTCGCCGCTACGAAGGACTTTACCGGGGAGAACATCATATTTCTCAGGCAGGTGATGAGCTGGAAGGAAAAGTGGAGATCAGAGGTGAATTCAGGAGGTTGCGAAATACCACCGCCCGTCCTCAGGACACTGTACAATGCAGCAGTGGAGATATTCCAAACTTTGGTTCACAGAGAGACGTCTCATTTCCCATTAAACCTTGACGATGACATCTACCTCCCTTTGGACCAAATCTTCGGCCGTTCCGATCCCGGGCTGCCACCAGACTCGTCGACTGACTGTTTCAACACCTTCCCCAAAGCAATGATCTCCCCATTTGCAGACGACATCGTACTCGTAGCCAACGCCAGGCGCCTCCCGGAACGAAAGGGGTTTCGCGAGATCCGCGAGAAAGATTCCGAAGCGGGAGCCGTGGCAGCAGAGATCGACCCAGACCGTTCTACCCATCCCCGGAATAGCTCGGCGGAAAATTCCCCATTGTCATGGATTCCCGAAGGCTTGGAAACGGCCTTTGACAAGGCTGAGGCGGCGATAAAGCAGATGGTCCTTACAAACACCTGGATACGGTAAGCCTCGAGACACGGTCTTGGCCGTTCGTGAGTTATTGCCACAGGCCTAGCTTGTTGCAATGATATTGTACCAAACAGGGATTCATTTTAGCTGACATGGCTGGTTCATTAGATATGTCGATTCCCTACCCGCTTCTGAACGCTCGCTTATTGGCGCAACGCCCCAGATTTCCTCAGCGATAAGCTGTAGGTGGAGGAAGTATTTTTGGAAAAAGGGCTCGGAGTGAGCACTGCCACGCGTTGGGGGGGTGGGGGTTGTTCCTCTTTGCTTTCACGGGGGAGCTAAAAATACCATTTGCTCAAGCACAAGTATCATACTTGTACTCGAGTACCGGTACCCATCTTTTTCTTTCCTTTTTCTTTTTCCTTTCTTTTTTTCCCTTCTTTTTGTCCCTTCTTTTTTTTCTTTTCCTCAAACGTTAAGGTTTTAGCCTTATTTTTCACGTGCTATGGCTTTTTTCTAATCGGTTTTAGAAGGGGATCCGGAGTTTTGGGTGTCAATGACCGGGTTGGCGTAATCTTGACTCAGCGCGCGCGCAGGGGATAGGACCGGGGGGAAAACCCCGATTTCTTGTAGTGATATATGATAGATAACGCTAACCTGCGGGTAAAAGTTTACTGTATGATACGAGCATCATCTCGCACAAAGGGGAATTCGAATTTGTTCCGTGATGCCGCGCGACGTCGTATACTAAATCAAGTGCCCAGTTGTGTGCAGACAGAGTACGATTGTGCTACTGTAGCCAAACATGTCCAATCCGAAGTATGAGTCCCTACCCTGGCTTACTGTATTCTGTATTTACACCACCTTTGCTATACCGGTACCCTTACCATGCTGCAGCACTGCCGCACACAGAACACTACAATACAGGTACAACACAAAACAAAGCTATCCTGCAAATCTAACCCTACTCATGCATGTACTTGTTTGTCCACCCGATGCTAATAACAATAACCCCACCTCTCCTTCCCGTCGGTCTCCAAGAGCAAGAAACAGAGGGGGAAGGGGAGAAGAGGGATTATCACAAGTTCGAGCTAGGAGGAAATTTTGAGACACGCGACCAGAAGAGAGGGGATGGATGGATGGATGGATGGAGGATGGAGGAACAAAGAAATGATCAGGTTATACTAGTATATCGATACATGAGTGAGCCGCCACGGGTGCCACGGGTGCAGGGAACGGGTAAGGAAGAAAATGGGAAGGAGGTGGTGGCACTAGCGGGTATGAAGAGCTAGTGGACGTTCTGATATATCGTGAGTGTGCCAGGGACGCCCATTTCCATTTCCATATCCAGTTCCCGAATACCGAATACCGAATACCGAATATCCTGCCTGACCGACTGACTTCCCTCTCTTCCTCTCCCACCCCCCAACCTGTGAGCGAACAAACAGACACAAAAATGCAGAAAAACATTCTCACGGGTAAACCTACACGTGCAACTATAGAAATAAAAGTAGAAACAAAAGCGCCCGCCCACCCACGACAAATCTACCTCGAAGAGAATCCCCGACCCTTCTGCACCAGCGCATCAGAATACAACGGTGGGGGACGTACCCCATAACTTCCATCCTGAAAGCTAACGTTTGCCTGCCGCCTCTGACGGTCCGCTTCTTCCCTAGCGGCGTTGGGATTAGCATACGAAGACGAGGGAGAGTTCAGGCGGGCGGAGGAATTGCCGAGAGTAGAATTCTGGCTCTGCATCAGGCGACTGATTGGTGGGCCCTCTTTGAGGGCCAGAGATAATCTACGGCCTGCCATGTTCGTTCATTCATGGTTAGCTCTTGCTTTTTTTTTTGCCTTCACGGATCATGAAGGGGCGAGGAAGGGCTACCGTCGGCAAGTTGATTATGGAACTGCGCGATACAATTATCCGCAGCGTCCTTCTTTTCAAAGACGATCTCGCAAGTGACCGATGGCGTGGGGGATAGTACTATGCAGCTGAGTATCCTGCCAAGGTCTCGCATGGCCATTTTGACATCTTCAGCGGTAGTTCCTGGAGCAAAGTTCGCGGCCTGCACGACGAATGGACCCGCAGAGCCTCTGATCGAGAAGCCGGCAGGGGATGTGGACGATGCGCCACGGATGCTGAGTCCATCACTACCGCCGTTGTTTTTACTCCTCAGTCCGGGTGGAGGTGTGTTCATCGAGGCAGAGATAGGAGAAAAGGGTGTTGTGGAGGTATTTGCGGTGCCATGGAGAGCGGCGAAGAGTCGGTTGTTTTGCAGAGATCGTGCGATGGCCGGTGAGAGGGTCGTTGGAAGCTTGGATACTCGCGAGGCATTTGGATTGACCTTGCGGTGGAGGTCGTGCGTCCATTTCCCATTCGCACCGCTACCACTGCTCATGCCGCTCCCGGAGGCACCCGACCGCTAGAGGAAGTAGCTTGGCATTAGGTACGATGGAAAACAAAAGGTAAAAAAAAGACGGCCAGTAATTGTAGGAGATATAGAGAGAGGCTGGAAATAGGCGATGACGAAGGCTTTTCACTTTCCCCCACGTTTCTTCTTAGGGAAAGATGGCTTTCCCTCGGGTTCGCAGACCCCCAAGATAGTGAGCGATAAAAGATTGACGGCAGCTGCATACCTTTCCTCCAACGACTCCTCCCCGAGGCGTCTTTGCCGAGAGAATATCACCACTTACTTGAGTACGTGCTTTTCCGAGCGTTGCGCTGGCAACTTCAGAAGCTCTGGCTCTGCGGTCTGATGCCCAGTCCCCACCAAGAAAATGTCAGTATGGCTAACTCAGGTAGGCCCAACGCGTAAGAGGATGGATGGTAAATTACCGCGTGCGATTATGTCGTCAAGGGAGATATCATTTGAACGATCTGGCATATTGGCGATGAGGGGGGCTCAGCAAGGGGGGACAAACTTTATTATTATCAGGAAGAAAGAAGGGAAAAGAAGCCGAAGAAGGTGGGATTGAGACGGGTACGAAGCAGCGAGTGAGGGAGTGAAGGGGGGAAGAAAGGCAATGGTGTCGAGAAAAGTGTTGGAGGAAGAAACTACCGTGCTGGTATTTGGCGGAGATGGGTTGTGTGAATCGGTGAGTTAGTTGGAGCGAGAGCTGTTTTGGTAAGGAAAGTGTTTAAACTTATCGTGGATCTGCGAGAAGCAGGAGTTACCCGGTTTTTGATCATCCTTTTTTCTATATTTTTTTTATCTCCACCCGTGTGGGGAGTCGGGTTCGCCTGTTAATCCGATTAGATAGGTTGACCCAAAGTAGTTAGAAGTTTGCGGGAGTTTCATGTGGTTACATCTCCCTTGGGCTAGGGTTTGGGTTCAAGGTGGTCAAGCGAACGGTGAAAGGGCATGACATGGCAAAGTGTGTTTCCTCTCATTCACCAATCACAACAAAAACGCTGCTGAATATATATACACTGTACGCGTGACAAACGGCTTGTTGAAGCGAAGGGCTCACCGCACAATGCGTCGGTAATCGAAATACGATCGATTGGCCCAACGAACATCCTTCCCGTCGCAGATATTGGTGAAACCAGAGTGTGTCGAGTAAAACCTTGTGAATATTAGTGATGCGTTACCGGTATCCTAATCTGTGGGAGCTTGTGTTGAAGGCCTTCTGAAAACACGGTGCTCACCGGGCCTAAATTCTCACGGCCCACCACAAGCTTTCCGGTTGGAAGTATCAAGCCAGGAGGAGGGGAGGGGTGTGAATGCAGCGGCCTGGACAACTTCAGGTAGGGATGCTAGAAGGCTGAGAGTACGCTACTGGCTTGACGGCGAGTCATCACTGCGTGCGAGTGAGGCATGGAGTTGCCATTGTGGCCACATCTCGAGGAGGGATATTGACCCTGCCAGCGGGAAGGGCTGGATCCAGAAGTGAACCAACGGGAAGCAAAAGATAATGGAATAAAAATAAGCACAGCAAATCTATAATCAATTGATGACTGAGAGAACGGTGGAGCTTGGAGTGGTACTCGTGACAGTAGCTGCACGGTAGTGGTAGTAGCAGAAGTAGTTAGTAGTCGTAGTCGCATCATACCGCACCGTGCCAGCCCGCCTAAACCGTGCCCTGTTTGAGTGGGTGTACTCGAGTACTCGAGTACTGCACTCCACGGTACACTTGCACTCGTGAACAAAATCCCCATACCCAACAGAACAACGCCCTGCATCCCGATCCAAAAAAAAAAAGCTTTGTTCTGTCCATGATACCACAACGGGGCAAGCGATAGGGGGAGAGAAAAGAAAATTCGGCTCAAAGGGACAAAAAGGACATGTTATTTAAAGACCCTGCACCCGGCAATGCTAATGAGCGAGAACGAAAAGGGGTGAAGCGTGAGTGTGATTCGGTAGCACAGAGTCAGTCCTTCGTGGCGACCATAATGTTCCGTCGCTAGCATTGCACTGTATATCGACGTGTATATATGATATGACAACTCTATCGGCCTTGCAGTCGAATCAAGCTAACTTATGCGGTACAAGACGTTTTTATTTCCCTTCCATTTTTGGTGTATCGCTGGTGCGTATCGTGCGGTGGCCGGGTTCGGGCGCAAGCAAAAACAACAACCGCTGTTTCTAGCGAGAGTGATGATGTATGATTCTGCTGGTTTTCTTTCCTGCTTTCGCATTAGTTATACGACGACGCCGCGTCGTGGAAGTATACCCGCCTTCAATCGTTCGGGGGTGAGGTCTAGCATATAAATTCCCTCTCTGGAAGGTTTCCTGAATCATTAGTTTTTCTCCTTTTTTCTTCTTGGGGTGCGGGACAAGGTAGAAATACATCGTCAGTGCTTGCCTGGGTTTGTGACCTCCGCCTCGTTGCGAGGATAGTGGAAACGGGGGCTAATTCGGCGGAACAGCAGCTTCCATAGCATTCATACCTCATCTGTTTTATTTCCCAAGAACCGTGGTCGAGTAAGTTCATCTCCGCCCATCCCTCCGGCCACAAGATAGCTAATACGGGTGGGTGTTTGTGCCATCCACAGTCACAGCTGCCTCCGACCCAATAGCAAAACCTGTACTCACTCGTAACCGATCTTCCCCTGGCATCAGGGCTCAGTCATGGAAGAGATGCCACCCTCACCAACAACTAGCGCTACAGCAGAAAGGCTAGTTCAGTATCTGCCCCCGCTCATTCCCGCCAACCTAATCATTGACATTGCCCCCCTCCCCCAGTTACCCCCTGGACATACCTTGCATCAGACGCCTCAAAGTCCGACGCCCCGAGTTCGTCACGGAGAACGATATGCAAACTCTGCCGGTTGGGTGTGTGTGTAACTTCCCCGAGGCGCTTAGGCACTCCGGTTCTCCTCCTCTCCCAGTTCCATGCATCCCACGTCCCGGGCTGGGGTTCTACGCCGACGTCCCGGCACCCTACCACTCGTGTTCTAGTAGTGAGGGAGAGAGTGGAGCATCCGAGCCTGGGCCTGACTCGAATGACCTCCAGTCGCCCTGCCATCGCATTAGTCCTGATAAACTATTCATCACCAATCCGGATCTAGAACCGGATGGGGGAGAGGGGTCTGAACCGACACCGAACCAATCCATAACCAACAGCCAGACTGATGGTGGGGGACAGGGAAGCAGCTCTTGTAACACTTCATTCCTGTTTCAGGATACTCACCTCGAAGACGACTCCTCCATCCTCGATCAGTTTCTCCAGGACCGTGCGGATAGAAAATTGAAAAGTGGGGCGCAAAGAACTCGTGAGTACCAACAAACAAGTGAAATAGGGAGTGCGTGTTAGGTGCTGATAGGCGCTAAGCAATTGAGGGAGCCAGGGCCCCTGGGGCTTTTGGAGGGCCGGAATCCCAAGCTGGAGATAGGAGGGGCACGGACTCAGTAGCCCCTCGGACGGGGGAACTCCCCGGCGAACGGAGCACCCGTCACCACTTCAACGGCTCCTTTGCTCTCGCGCGATGGGGTGAGGCCGGACCGCGTCTACGGGAAGGGCCCTTTCGGGATTGTGATGGGGACTATTTGCTCCCGATCTATCCAGCCCGCCAAGGAAGGGTCCGGCGCCACGCAAGTGTTCGTTCCATCTAGTGGAGGCAGTCATTTTGGGCAAATTCGCCGTAGGATTATGAAGCCGTGGCTCGGAACGGTGCCGATCAGACTAGCCTGGCCTTCTTTGGTTATCTCGGTGGCTGTGCCTTGCGCTTGGAGGTGTTGAGAGAGTCTTTTTTATCTTTCTTCTCTTTTTTTCTTTTTTCCCCTTTTTTTCGCCGCTTTGGAAGTTGAATACCGGTAGCGTACTTGGTGAAGATCGATGTATCATACATTATCGGTGGTGGGGCTTTTTGTTTTTCCTTTTCTCTTTCCCCTATTTTCGGGCGGTTCTCGTGCTTGAATTTGTGAAGTCGATTGCGGCATGTAGTGTAGGAAGAGAACAGAAAAGAGTTTGAAAAGAAGATTTGATGGTCCTAGAACCGAGTGGAACATATGGTGTGGGTTCTGGGGTTTCGCGACTGAGCGGGGATGAGAATATATTATCCTATTCCGTGAAAGATAAGTCATAAATCACCGCAGCTGAATCAAGTGTCCACGTCCAACTTACACTATTATTGTACATCATAAGGACAGATATCATTCAACAACTCCCTCCCTCTCTATCAGCGGCCTCCAAAACAACCAGCGCCTTCCCAGCAGCTCTCCCCATCTCACCACCACCCTTCTTCAGCCTCTCCAAGCCTAGAACCAGTGAATCAAACATCCCCCTACCGGGCCCGCCAATAAGGTACCTGATCCTCGAGTCCCTGTCCTCGGGATCAGCCTCCTGCAACACCCCCCCCCTATAAACCCCACCCAGCGTGCCAAACAGACCCAAAGAAGCATACACGTTTGAACGACTCGGCAACTTATGCACTTCATAAGAGGCATGCAACCCATCCGGCCTCCTCCTCCTATCCCCTGCCCCAACCTCCCCCTCAACATCCTGCCGGTCAACCATCCCCGCCTCCAAAACCTTGGTCAAGACAGCCAAATGCGGTAGGGCAGCCTTCCCATCCTGAACCTTCGGCACAATAACACTGCTGCCCTCGCCTGCAGTACCACCAAACCCTAGACACCCGCATAGCCCGCGAAGACACACGCCCCACCCCCCGGCCGAGAACAGTTCCTCGCCGCTAGCCCCCAGCAGCCAGTCCAGGAACTTTGTAGAGTCCATGCGGATGTCGGAGGATATGTGCGTCATTGCGGAGTTCACGAAGAGCAGGATCTTCCGTGTGTGGAGGACTAGATGCGTGTGCGGGAGGTGGACCAGGAGTGTGAGAAGCTGGGTGCGGACAGAGGCGGAGGGGTCAAGGATTAGTGGGAGGAGGGAGGAGATTAGCGAGGAGATGGTCGGGAGGTTGGAGATTGCATTGGGGGTTGTGGAGGCGGTAACGGAGAGAGCAGCGGGCAGGTGAGTTTTTAGGTACGAGAGGGATTCCCTCCGGGTTGTTGCGCTGTGGTGGGTTAGGAGGGAGAGGTGATGGGTGAAGGAGGATGCTGTCGAGGGAGCGGTGGTGTGCAGGGATTGGGTTGGGAGGGTGATTGCTGGCTCGTGTTAGCTTTGTATCCTGGAGGGGGGGGTGTATGGTAAGAGGAGTCAATGAATTGGGAAGCAGTGGGAAGGGAGCACGCTACCCTTCGATCTGAAGGACGTATTGGTAAAGTTGTCTGCTTTAGCCCTTGCTTTGCCGACCTTTAGCTTCGGCTTTTGAAAGTCTCTTTGTTTCTCCCTCTTGCGTTTCGCGCTAGAGCCCATTGTGTTGTCGCTGTTGCCGTCGCTGTTTTTGCTGTCGTCCTCGCTCTCCTCCTTTCCTTGCACGTATCATGGGGGAAAGGTGGTGATGCTGCACTTGCAGAGTGCCATAATAATGTTTTTTGCTCCCAACAGTCTAAACCAAGGGTATGATTTGTCTGCCCACCCAACAACCTCCGGGTAACTCAAGTCCGAAGCCGTATCATACTCGAACTGGCCTAGTCCAGCCTCTACCCCTACCCACCCAAATCTTGGCAAAACGTCACCCACGCCATCCACTTATCATGGAGGTATCGTGCAAGTATCCTACCGTATCATAATTTACCGACAAAAAAAAAAAAAAAAACCAAAGATAAGACCAGAAAAAAAAAAATCCCCCGTTCCACCTCTTTTTCTCAGGCCTACCGTGCCATACCAGAAAAAAAAAGGAGAAAAAAGAAAATAAAGAAAAAAATAGTAATGATTAAATAAATAATGAAATTGAAAAATGATTCAACCCTCCATTCATTTCATTCCCTTTCCCTTTCCTTTTCCTTTTCCTCTTCCTTTTCCTTTTCCTTCCCGCCGGCTTAAATAGAATCACGTTTCTTCTTAATATCTTCTCATTCACTGGACGGGGGAGGAGGGAGGGGGCGGTGTACGAGTACTACCGGTATGATACGACGAGTACGGTACTTTGTTACCCTACCCTACACACGTTTCCAACCATTCCCGGCCAATAGTATCCGACGATGGATGAGGAAGGGATTTTTTGTTTTAATTTGTGATCGGGATCGGCGTTTTTGGGGGTGAGGTGATGTGAGTTGCTTCATATCACATAGCCGGGGGGGGGGGGTTTGTGCCTCCTCATGGTATGGGATGGGAGGTTCAAAATTGTTATGGGAGTCCTGCTGAGGGTGCCCAGTGTGTTCTGTACTGTACTCGTACTAGTACTCAAGTACGGTGCTAGTATTGTGTGAGGTGTGACAGCTATTGCGGTGCCCCATTGTGGATGGATGGGATTGCTCGACATGGGTTGGGATAGTCTACAGTACTGTACTCATACTGTATGATGCGGTGCAGTGGGCGGACCAAAACTATCGTGGGGCGAGTCGAGATCTTGGCTCCCAAGGCTCGTATTTGTGTGTTACGGGCGGGGGAGTACGGTACGAGTACCGGTGCAGTAGGGCGGTCTGCTGTCAGTGTTCAGGCTTACAAGTGCGGTGCTATGGACCTTTCTCTGCTGAGTACATGTACCGTACGGGTACTCTGCAGCGCTGATATAACTTTTGCATTTGTAATGGTCGCTCCCAACAAACAAAGCACCGGTATGGCTGAGCATGGACTGCGTAAACTTAGCACGGAACCTTACTCCGACAGCAGCTCGTACAGTACTCGTACGGTACGGTAGATCGATTGTCGGCCCATGTTTTTAACCTGTTGGCTTCTGGGGCCTGGAAGCGTCTCTACGGTGTCAAGCTTCACTAAAGAGCGCTTTCTTTTTTGCAGCGTGATGTCGATAAACGACCGCGTCTGTCGGTCTGTCTGTCTCAGAAGCGATGGAATGAATGCTTTTTTTTTCCTGTCAGGAATCACGATGAGCACAAAGGGGTGGTGGCCTGGGTGGGGGAGACCCTTTTCACTTTCTTTCCTTTTTTTTCCCTTTTTTTTTTGTGATAACCAATCATACCGAGTTGGGGCATTGCGGCTCCGGCTTCACTCGATGTGTGCGTGATATGATATGGTATCATACTTGTATCATAGAAACAGAGAACAGGTTGGCCCTCTCTCTGTCAGGGCAATTAGGGCAAGTTTTTATGCGTTTTTTTTTTCCCGGAGGTGCCAGCAGTTTTGTGTGCGTTGGATGTCCCATTTGGACAGTCATTGATTTGGTTTGCGGCGGTTTACCTCGTCCTGTGAGAATCAGGTGGGGGGCTTAGCTTGACCCGATTTATCTATTGTTATGGTTGACGTACTGTACCGGTGATGGGTGTATGGCATCAGGGAGCTTCAAAGCTCCCAGTACACTGCGAGCCGAGTACGTACTGTGCACGATAGACCCCGCAAATACAGGTGTACTGCTTGAATAAAATGACCATACCTCTGTACCATAATTTTCAAAAAGTACACCTCTGCCAAAACACCTATACCGGTAGTGCCTTCCGTGTGCCGAGAGGAGGTGAAGGCTATCGCATTCGGTTGTGATACGGTGTTGCAACAGTATGTATGATACGGTACAGGTATATGGCTGTTTTGTGCACAGTACTCGTACTCGTACTAGTACTGTACTGTACCGTGCAGTCCATTTTGCCTCCTTCGTGGTCAACTCCCTTCGCTCGTGACTGAAGGATAACGGTCAGCGAGAGCCCCGGCTTATTTATACACTTTGGGTAACTAAGTTGCCTTTTCATTTCAGCTAGATGCCTTGGAAATATTGGAGGGGCATTTCTGATGGCACTTGTATGGTACAGTGCGGTGCTGACTTGGTACGAGCAGATATCCGGTGGTCAGCCCGCCCTCCTTAATACCGGTGGTACTTTTCGAGCTCCCCCCCCCTCTGCGACCAACAGCCTGAGCGTACGGCACCGATATCATGCCATTTGGGGACTGGAAATACCGGTACCATGATACTCCATGCAATGGGATAGACTCCATGGCTCTCAGAAAGGATTTGTTGACCCGATCCGACCTTTTACCCTAGTTCTGGGCCTTTTTTTCTTCTTTTTTTTCTTTTTCAAGGCACTGTGACAGTTCAGCATGCTGCTATGGCGACGGCAGGACACGGGGAGCAAGTAAGCTCAGGTTAAGGGGACGGGAATTTGGGATAATGCTTGCAAAGGCCCCTTTGTATATTGCGTCGGACAGTATGTAACTCACAGCCCTCGAGTTCCGTGAGGATATTAGTGAGCCTTTTATTGTACCCTTTCCTGATCGACCGGGAGCCTCGGATTTGATGGGGGGCGGGTAACTTGATTGTGGATCGTCGACGAGAGCAGTGAATTTGGAAGATGCTCAGTTCGATAGAATTGCTCAATGGAACTCATGCAATGCCGTGGATAAATGTTTCTCCCAATTTACGGTACGGTGGCGGTTCGTAAGGGCACGCACTGTGCTGGTGGTGGCACTGTGCTCGTACCTGTACAGTACAGTGCTGTACTGTACCCGTATCATACCCCTTCAGAGCCTTCCTTGCGGCCCAGTGGAGGAGTTCGACTAGATACCGCAGAAGCAGGCCGGTCCACCGCCCACATACAATTTTTTCTTCCTTTTTTTCCTTTTTCTTTTCTTTTTTCATTTATTTCCTTTTTTAGAGAACTTGGTAGTTCTTGTCCTCCTCGCCTTGCCTCGCACTTTTCTTTCTTATTATTCCTTTTTTCCTTTCCCTTTTCCTCCTTTCTCTCCCTTCCTCCTTTTTCCTCCCCCATCCATCTCCGCTCCATCAACCCACAAGTTTCCCTCACAGCGGACCCTCAGGTTTTCAGAGGGTGATCGCGGTTCTAAAAAGCGTCTGCATAGAATTTGCGCGACTTCAAACAACACGGACGATAAGTTTCGTTACCTTCTCCCCCCCCGTTGCCAGCTTGCCTGGCTGTCCTGGCAACAGCAGTCCTCCTTCATCACCACATCGTGACGATACTCTGGAAATTTCTCCGAGCACGAAAAAAAAAAAAATCCCCACAAGGGCTCTTTTCAACCCTTTGTTTTTTTTTTTTCCCTCCTTCTCTCTCTCACTTCCCCTCCAGCTCTCGCTCACCCCACACACAAAACGACTCATCCTCAAAGTCGCATACAAACGGAATTAGATAATTCATCAGGTAAATAAATCTGTCCCGTTGCTGGGTCGTTCGAGAATTTTAGCCCCCCCCCCCCCTTCCTCTTCCTGTCCCGTCCACTAGTGTGCTTTTTCCCTGCCTCGTTGATCGGGACCGCCGAGCCCTCCTGTCAACCCTTTCTCGCTAGAAGTTGAAATGATCAGAGGCTAATTCCAAGTCGCTGGGGTAAAAAGAGAAAAGGAAGAAGAAGAAAAATAGGTTTTAGGTCTTCGTCTTTCTCTTGCACACAGTCACATACAACCTCTCTCTGGCATAGAAAACTGCCTAATAACTTTTCTTCTTGTCTTTTTTTCCATTTTTTTCCTCCCACTTGACCAGCAGTCACTTCTATCCTTACCTTCACCTCATTCATACCGCTACTAAACGAACTCGCTCAATTCGCCATCACCTGCGCCACCACAACTCGCCTCTCCTACCAAAACACCTTTCGCCAAATCCCACCCAGATCCTTTCTCAGCTAACCTATCCACTCACATATCAAATTTAAATTCACAAAGTTTCTCGAATGACCAGCAACACGTCGAACAATACCTCCATCCCTCAAGCCCCTACAATCAATTCGACCGCTTCTAACCAATCGGCTCATCAACGGACGTCTTCCCTCAGCAGCGGCCAGAACTCGTCCTCTGCCGCTGTGACGGCCAGCGCCCCCACCACGCGTTCCGTGTCGCACGCCACCCGCGCCGCTCCGCCATCTAATACATCTAGCAAGCTTGTATCGGCGCCCTTAATCGCAGCCACGCCTCCCTCGTCTTCAATCGGTGGAGCACCAGTACAAAATGTACGGCCTGGCTCTGCAACAGCATCTGCGCCGGTGAACGGCAAGATATCCCCTGCTGTTGGAAATGCTGGGGCTGGCATTGCGAACGGTGCCCCTCCCTCTTATACTGGAGGCCATCATAGCCGAAAATCGTCCGTTGCGTCTGGAGCCAGGGGACCAGCACCCAACGGAAGGATTAATAATATATCATTCGGCACTTTAAACGACGCTGGAACTGCTCCCCTCTCGGGTCCCGCCAACGCAGCTGCTAATCCCTCTTTGACTGCACCAATGGCATCCAACCCAAGAGCAAGTTCGCCTCAGCCTCCTGCATTGGCTGCCTCGCAACCGGCTGCAAGTGGTGGGGCTCCGCCTGTAGCGCCCGCAACCAGTGGCAGGAGTACCATCCAGTTTGGTGATGCCACGCAAGTATGTACAAATTTCCTTCGACTTTTCCCACGCTGCCTATGCATCTAACGGCCCTCGTAGAACCAGAGCCAGAGGCCTGTTTCGTTGCCTCCCCAAGCTCCGGGATCGATGCTTGGCCATAGCCATCACAGACGGGACTCCGCCCAATCTACACACGCGGAAACTGGCTCCCCGCAAATTAGCCACGGCCGAGGAATGCCTGGTGGTCGGGGCCGGAATCAGGGGTATGGCGTGGGTCAGTACCCTCAACAACAGCCGCATTATGGTGGCGGCGGTGGCTATGGAAGAGGTGGTGGCTATCCTAGCCCGAATCAGCCCCGTGGCGGGCCAGCGAATATGGGACCGCAATATCAAGGGCCTGGCTCGGCAAATAGCTATCGAAACGGTGGCCACCGTGTTAACGGAAGTCCTGCCATGTCACACGCTTCCCCTAGTCTTTCTAACGTCCAACCTGTACCCACGAACCAGCTCTACCCGTCGTTTATGCCTTCTGCGACACCACATGTGAGTACATCCCTTTTGCGATGGAGTGGTGATGGATTCCAGCTAGCCAAGAATTTAAAATAACCCTCATCTAGTACGGAATGCCTGGACAGATGCAGGGTCCCATGGGTTTCCCAATAGATCCGAACTACTATGGGGGGAGCTATTTGTATCATCAAATGGCCCAGGGCTACGGGGGCGTACCGCAAACGAGCCCCAGACCTGCTTTCCAGCCGATGTCCTCACCGGCCCCTCCTTATATTGCGCCTTTCGCGCAAGGTGCTCCTATGTCTCGCTCCTCGAGCACCAACATGGATATGCACTCTGCCAGGCCTAATTCGAGCCTCGGCCAACCGCCTACGCCTTCGCATACACCGCAGCCCATAAATATGCAGCCGCCTGCTCCCCAGCACCCGTCGAATACTTACCCGCAGCCGCAGAAGAAGAGAAATCACAAGGTTGAGATCAAGAACCCGCATACCGGGTCTGTCGTTCATTACGACGAAGCTAAGCCCCCATCTCCTACTCTGCCAGCTGTGGGCAACGCTCCATTGATCGTTTCATCCCCGAGCCCAGCGCCTGGCCGAGTCCCACCTCGTGATTCTCCTCACACTAGACCGGTATCCAAAATGAGGAGCGAGCAAGAAGTGAGAGATGAGATGAAAATTTTGGTGCAGAAGAAGTTCGAGGAGGACAAAAGGCGTAAGGAGGAGGAGAAGAAGCAGGAGGAACTGCTGCTCGAAAAGCAACGTCTGGAGGCCGAGAAGGCTCTGAAGGAAGAGCAAGAGCGCCTTGCCAAGGAGGCCGAAGAGAGGAAAATGCGTGAGGAAGAGGAACGCCTCAAGAAAGAGGAAGAAGAGAGGCTCCGTAGAGAGGCGGAAGAAAGGGTCTTGAGAGAGGAGGAGGAACGTAGGAAAGAAGCTGAGAAAGCAGAAGCCGCGCGGATTGCCAAAGAGAAGGAAGAAGAGGCGGCCAGGGAAGCCGCAAGAATTGCGAAGGAGAAGGAGGAGGAAGAGGCTCGGGTCAAGGCTGAGGCCAGGAGAAAGGCAAAAGAGGAGGAAGCGGCGAGGAGCAAGGCAGAGGCCGAGGCAAAAGCTGCAGAAGCTCTGAAAGCATCTTCAACCCCAACCATCTCGAAACCTTTCAGCCCAGACAGCGATACAATGCCTCCTCCCGCTAGCAAAGCCGTTGACAAGGGCAAGCCGAAGCCTAGTCCTTTAAATTTACAAATCAAGACAAATGAACCAGGTCCACCCTCCGCTGCTCTCACTTCCTTGAGATCTGCAAGGTTCATCGAAGACATTAACAGCGTAAATTATCCTGCTAACATTCTCTCACCCAACCCTGCTCTCAACCCCGCAGCCTGTGGCAAGTTCAAATATCCCAAGGACTTCCTCATGCAGTTCAAGGAGGTCTTTACCGAAAAGCCTTCTGTCGATTGGGATCAAAAAATGCGTGAGACCGTTGGCGAACCTGACTCGGCTCGCCCTCAGACAGCTCGTGGCCTGGGTCCTCGTGGCTCTACTCCAAGACCTACGGTTTCCAACGCTCAGCCGCCTATGGCCATGGGCACGTTCGGATCCTTTAAGACGGTGGTCCCCATGATGGCATCGAACCGGGGATACGAGCGCTCTTCCACAACCGGGTCTCAACCTCCAGGAGGTTTGATTTTCAATTCTAGACCTGGTGGTGGCGGTGGTGGCGGTGGCGGTGGGGGGAGTGTTCTCATGCGTACTGGGTCTAGCAATTCGTTATCTGGGGCAAACACGCCCAGCAGTCCTCGGACTGGGAACAGATCTTCGCGTGGTAACAGCAGGAAAGGTGGTGGTGCTCCGATGGAGAAAACCGAATCAAAGCAAGGAGGAGCTGGGGGCCAGCCAACTATTCCGCTTGCCGAAGTTAAGCCTTTGCCAGTCTCCGAGAACAGGTGGAAGCCGCCGAGCGCGACAAAGGTTGCGGAATCGGCTGCCGTGGCAACACCTTCTGAGGATAATAGGCTGTCTCCCGAAATGGTCCAACGCAAGGTCAAGGCGGCGCTGAACAAGATGACTCCAGAGAAGTTCGACAAAATCGCGGATCAAATCCTCGAAATCACTAGCCAGTCTAAATACGAGACCGATGGACGGACGCTCAGACAAGTCATTCAGCTTACTTTTGAGAAGGCCACCGACGAGGCAGCTTGGTCTTCTATGTACGCAAAGTTTTGCAAGCGAATGCTTGAGGCTATGGATCCCAGCATCAAGGACGAGAACATTAAAGACAGGACCGGCAATCTGGTTACTGGCGGAAGTCTGTTCCGCAAATATCTCTTGAACCGATGCCAGGAGGAGTTCGAACGGGGCTGGAAAATAAACTTGCCTCCCAAGCCTGAGGGTATCAGTGACGAAGCCGCCATGCTTTCCGATGAGTATTATATCGCAGCAGCTGCCAAGCGTCGGGGTCTTGGGTTGGTTCAGTTCATTGGAGAGCTTTTCAAGCTGTGCATGCTTACAGAGCGTATCATGAACGAGTGCGTGCGAAAGCTGCTCGATTTTGAAGGCGTCCCCGAGGATGAAACTGTTGAGAGTCTCGTTAAACTTCTCAGGACCATTGGTAGGGCTCTGGATGTTTCCGAGAAGAGCAAGAGTATGATGGATATGTATTTCGCACGAATCAAACATCTGGTTGACAATAAGGAGCTCAACAGTCGAATGCGCTTTATGCTGATGGTAAGCAATTTGGAAACTCCCCGAAACGCAAGGAGTCGTAGCTAATTAGTGCGCAGGACGTTGTTGACCTACGTAGCAAAGGCTGGGAGACTAAGGGGACCGACAAAGGCCCCAAGACTATCCAGGAGGTCCGTGAGGATGCGCTCAAGGCGCAGCAAGAGAAGGAGGCTGCGGCCCGCGCCGGTCAGAGATCGCGCCTCGGTGGCGGTGGGCGTGGAGGAGACACCAGATCTTCCTCTGGCGGTGGCTACGGCAATAGCATGCATCACCATCCAGGAGGGTGGCAGGACAGCGGCAAAGTTAATACTTCGGATCTCGAGAGGCTTACCTCTAGGCCAAGACAGAACAATCGCGGGACTTCCTCTGGCCTTGGGCCTCCTGGTCTGTACACGCGCACTGCCAGTGGTAATGGTAGTAGAAGAGGACTTGGTCCCCCAATTTCTAGAGGTCCTGAGGATTCACACTCCTCGTCCCGCACACCTACTCCAGCACCATCCACATCCTCGAAAAACCCCTTCAGGTAAGCAAATTGTTCCCTCGGTTGATTACGTTCGTAATGCTCATTATCCATCAGTTTACTCGGGGAATCGCACCACGACTCTGGCGAGACCAATGATACGACCCCAGCCCCATTCCCAACTTCTTCATCCCCGCCCACCGCTAACGCGCGAATCTGCTCACCTCCCTTGACGAAGGAGGAGGCGAGGTAAATCGATTCGGAGAATTCCTATTCAAAAAAAATTAAAAAAAAATTAGGGTTTGTGTAGGCGTGGGCAAATAGAGAGTTAGAACGGCGTGTATCTTCAGGGTCTTTTTTGCTTCTAAAAAGTAATGCTGCTTTGTAAATGCTTATTGGCGATTAATTTGTGTCTGCTTTTTTTGTTTTTTTATTAATTTTCTCTTCCTGTTCTCTCCCGTCCCCCCCTCGCGCCTGGTGGGACAGAAAAGCCAGGCCTTTTTCCATCCGAAATGTACGAACAGGTGAATCGCCAGCGTCACGATTACGAAATGGGTTGGGGATGTATTTCTGGGAAAGAGGTAAAAGACAAGAGGGAGAAAGGGAAATCTAACGACGGATAACTGACTACACAATAATACATCTACCGATGAATGGACGAACCGGGGGGTAGGTTGTCGATATGATTGGGTGGCAGTGTTTTTATGGCAGAAAGGCTACTGTATGGCTCTGTGGTCTCGTACAAGTACAAGTACCCGTACATTGATGTTGGGATTTGCTCTTTTTGTCTTTCTTGTAAATCGCATCGCTGTTGGTGGTGGGGGTGGCCTACTTTTTTATATTTCCTTGTCTTTTTTTCTTTTTCTTTCTTTTTTCCGTTACTTTTGATCCTACTGCTTAGGTAACTCTTGTGGTACCGGTAATTCAGTCACATTCACATTCATCTTTTTTAATGATACATATCTCTCCCTGGGTGAAATACTTGCGTGACAAGGCGAGAAGAGGAACAGTAGCAAACGGGGTTTTTTTGTTCTTGGTGAGCGATTGTGAGTGAAGTTTGCCTCTTTTTGGCAGAAGAAGACGAGTCACGGAATGGCACTCACATAAATGATATAATGGATCACAGATGGTAACAAGAGAAGCATCGTACTGTACCGGTACAGGAGCCGCAGACCACCGCAAGGCGCAATTTCGTCGGGGCGTGTTGTTTGCCGTAATGTATAGACCAATACTCGTACCATCGGTACTGTAACAAAGACATGCGCATGGCGATAGTACGATACCGGTATTCGGGTGCGGCTGGGGTTCCAGGCCTCCCCACTCCGGATGCACACACACTCCCCCGGCTGGGCAATAAGCTAAACTTCCAGTACCGTACGCTACTGTACAAGTACTTGTATGAGTATGGATATTCCAGTGGCAACAGTGGGTTGGGTTGCACGGTAGGAGCAGTCTATCACCCCCGTGATAACTTGAGTTAGCGGACGGAAAAAGCCCTCCTCCGGCCAAGGTGAGGCGGGGTTGTGTTAGTCAATTTTTGTCCATGATGGATGGATATTATACTGGTACTCTATTTTATGTATTACACCATTGCTGTGGGATGGTCTACAGTCAAGTGAGGATCGTACTCACTCGTCCCCCACCCCACCCAGTTCACGCTTCTTTTTCTTTTCTTTTCTTTTCTTATTGTAGCTTGGGGGAGAGGGGGCGGAGGGGATTGGAAAAAAAAGACCGTCATGGTGCCTGTCTACGAGTACTGCCCACACCGCTGATAAGGCCGGTCCGGTGATTGTGTGGTGGTGGGGGGAGTATGATATGATGTGATCGGTGCAAGTATTTAGAAGGAAGGAAGGAAAGAGTGACTGTGGATCGGGGTATAACCCTGCTTTACCTATTTTATTCTATTTTATTGGCCTTTTGGGATCGGTGGTTGGTGGTGTGACTAACTTTTGCTTGTACTTGTACTTGTACTGTACTGGGCTCGTTTCATAGTCTGGATGCTTTGTCGGTAGAGAATATCTTCAAGCTGCATCCATTGAACCGGTAAGTTAGCTGGTCGCTGAGTAGGAGGTCCAGTATCTAACTCACTAGCCCAAATGTAGGTTCTTTAGTTTAATCTGCCTACATACTTCTTCCATGTGGACATGGTTGAAGCGGTCTTCTACATCCAGGGTAGTGACACAGGAGTATGGTAGGTCTTTCTTGGTTAGAAGTATGTGCAGGGCCTGTATGGAATCCGTGGTCCTGTGCTTTTTCTTTCTCTATACATGTTTGGGCTCAGCAGCTCCAGTTTGTCCATGTATTATACCGCTGCTCCCTCTAGTATTTTAGCAAGGATGGATTAGAGCTGGATGGATCTTTGCATACTTTTTGAACAAGTAGCAAAACAGCGATGACAATGGCGAAAGAACAGGGGTCTGTGGCAATGGGCTAATCAAAGGTAAGTGAGTGATAGGCTGTAAAACAAAACAATGTCAAGCTCACACACGAGAAAAGATTACACAACTCACAGCTAGTGGAAACTCTTCTCTTCTCTTTCTCTCCACTCATGAACTCATACAATTCTTATGTACAAACTATTTTATACAGAACTAACTAATAGCAAAGATAGGAATATATATTCATTGAGTGACAACTAACAAACTTCTATACCCTCCTCCTCAGGTAAGTCTCTCATATATGAGCAAAGACAAACTAACAAAGAAAAGACAAACTTGAGCTCTGGCCATGTGCCTTTCTGTTATGTGCTCTTCTGCCATACTTCTTTCCACTATGCTTCTTTCTGCCATACTCCTTTGTGCTACACGTTCCTACCATTCACCTTGCTACCTGTTAGGCGGCAGCCAATCCTAAGTTAAACGAATTGTAACTGGGGCCAATAAGGTTTCTCGGAGAGTGGTTGAGAAAGCTTGTAACAAAAGTATGTATCAAAGTATAACGAATATATTGATGAGATCTCTTTTCCGTTCGCTGATGATTCTGAAAGCTAAGGATTTTTTGTTTTTTTTGTTTAACTCATTGATTATTTGTTTAGGGTACAAAAAATGTATGGAGCACTAGCTATGACGACAAAAAACCCATATTCCCCCTCTCGCCACAGGAAAAAGCCAACCCCCCAAGCCCCTCTGGTATGGAGCCAACCGCACATCTCGCCTCAAAGAAAAGAAACCCAAGCCCGGCTAGATGGACGAACAAGGAAATCCTAACTAAGAAGAAAGCAGGAAGGGCCAGGAAAACCCGCTGAGAAATCCCAAAAAGACAAAAGAGAGGTTAGTAGCAAGCCACGTAGGCCCCGAAGGGCGAGTCCACTCATTCAAGCGGGAAGTGACGCACGAAGCGCGCTAAGATAGGGGGCCCCCCCCAGACCCACTCCAAGGAGACAGTGCAATACCATGGAGGGAAGGAGGAGACCAGCCGGCTGTGGGCGATAACCGGGGGGAGGGGAAGGTGTAGCAGTAGGGTGCCAGCCGATCCGACCGTCGGGAGATGAGAGCGGAGGGGTAGACCCAAAGACCTTGAACATCGTCTATCGGTGTCGCGTTCGTGTCTGACTAGGCAGCCTCTTAGGGGAACAAGAGAATGGGGAGATCGACCGTAGCCTGTTGGCTGTTCTCCCCTACTGCAACTGTAGTCCCGGCCGTCTGACGATGGTGGTTAAGGGGTTGCCGACCGTGAGAAGGCTAAGCGAGGCCAACTCAAGAGGAGGAGAGGACTCCCCACCACGCGTGGGGGGAGGAGGAAGGGGGAGTAAGGAAGATCATCAACGGCCGCCTAGGCAAAGCATAGCAGGTGTTTTACCGCGTCTCTCATGTAGT